TTTTGTTCTTTTTCATTTCTCCTTCAATTATTTGCTTTTATATCCCCCTCCAATTCACTCTCTTGATTTCCCTTTCCTCGCGTACACACATTTCACCCGCTTTGGTTCCTTTTTTATATTTTCATTCTGTTTAATTAAAGGTAATGCGGGTGATAATACATTTCTTTGTTTTGGCTACTCAGAGGATGACAAAAGTACAATTTTGTCTGCAAAATATTTTTAAGCACGGAAGCGATGTTTGACATCTACATTTTTATAGATGTCAATGTTGATAGTCTTTCATCAATTATTCGTGCCTGTCCAAAATATTCTCTAATATACACTCCTCTAAAATAGTTGTTATATTTCGTATGTCATAATTATATTTTGATATTTCCTTAAACATTCTTTACCTCTTTAGAATTTTGTACGGCTTTCTTCTTTTTATCACTTTTTTCCATCTCTCTTTCTCGAAGTTTTTCATTTCTTCAATTTCCCACTTTTTTCTTTGTTTCCCATCGTATTTATTTTCGTTTATATCATTCAATCTTTTTTTTTTCTCAGAATTTTTTCTCTACTTAATTTTCTTTCTTTTACTTCTTCTCTTTCTATTCCCATAAAAAATACATTTTCAGTTTTTATTTTCTTTCTTCGCTTCTTTCTCCATGTTTCTCTCTCGTATAGCCATTTCTCTTTAGGTTTCCTTTTTCATCAAATCCTATTTACTGCGATTTTCTTCATTCTTTTCTTTTATCACTCATTTTCCATTTAATTTTTCACTGCTTATTCTTCGAAACCTCTTCATAATATTGCCGCCATTTTATTCAACCCTTTCTGTCAGCTTCTTCCCTTGACGCTCTGTGACAAGTACTCAGCTCTCAATCGTCCATTAAGTTGTTCAAAATTGTTCTGAATTAAGAAAGAAATTGGGTTCAATGAGAATTATGTATCGGGCAAATGTTTCACCTATTCTCCATCTTGTATCTCCCTTGTCTCTTCCTCGTTTATTTAATCATTTTCAGGCCATTACTATTCAGCTGATCTTTGCTATCATCACCCACAAAGCCTTTTGGGGGCCATTTGTGTTATTGTGACAATAATATATAGTTGTATATCTCTAAAATATCATAACACAATTCAAAGTCGTATATTTCTCAATCAACCTGTTTGTGGCATACAGTTTAACAAAGCAAAGTTGAGAGGAAGTTTTTTGTGTAATTTCAGAACAGCAAGAAGAGGAATAAAAAAAACTGTCATACATCCATTTTCTCGGGTATTTGGTTTAGATATTATTATTATCATCATTATTATTATTCTTATTATTATAAAAATATTTACAGCTTGAGACCAAACTTGGCATATTTTATTGATTCACCAGGATCGAGCTCATTGTCTGTGAATTGAATGTTAACCATTGCAACAATTGAGAACTTGATATTATAAAGAATTATACGATAAATTTCGAATAATTTGATAAAATATATATGACCAGATTTTTTTGACAAGGAAACTGTTCAGGTAGCATTAAATTTGTTGAGGACATTGTCAAAATAGTTTTCCTTGTAGCATATTTAAAATCTGAAAATACTAAGAGTAAAGTACTTAATTATCTACTAAATACATCTTTTTTGTTTTAAACGATAATCCAAATACTAAATAATTTATCCGATATAACATAAGATTATCACAAAATTCTCTTTGTCTAGTTTAACTAATGAACTGTAGAGAATTAAAATGAAATCCTATTTTAGAGGATCATCATTATTATTATTATTGTTGTTGTTTTGTCTTTGCAGAACGATTGCCTCCCAATCAGAATCAGGCACGTCAAAGAGACAATATCTTTTTGCTATCAGTAGATGCAAACAACAAATGAAGTACCATGCAACAAAAGAGAATTTTAGAAATATGTAATTGTGATTTATTATTATTATTATTGTATTGCTGTTATTGCTATTCAGTTTAATTAATCATCAGCTAGGCGATTCACTCGTGAAGCGCGCCATTTCTGTAGCCTTGTGACAGACCAAACCTGAGTTTATAAAATAGCTACTACTCTCGAACCACCTCCATTTTCAGATGTAAAATACTTTAATTAGAAATTATTTCTTTTTCGAACGAAACATACAAACGTTATTTATTATTCGTTATTTTTAAGAACTAATTCTCTTTCGTTTTGGTGAGACATGAAACAAATTTGGCTATTGGTGCTGTTTATTGAATCAAAGCGACTTGTCATTTCAAGCTATGAAAAGGAAACGTTTTCAAATTAACCGTTTGTCTTTTTGCTGTAACAGAATTATTTTTATGATTTGCAACACCAATAATTCAACAATAAAATTAATGTATTCCTAATGATGATGATGATCATCATCAGTGGAAAGAAAACAATTTTGCTCACAACAAGTACTCAGAGTTTAATCTTAAATTCTGAAGATGTAGTGTAGCATTTTGGGATTTATCATTGATTTTCGAAACATATGACAGACAGTAATTTAATTTCATTCATTATTATTTAAGGTTATATTTTTTTTCAAAGATTATCCACGTTGAACCAGGGAACGACATTGAAATTTAGTGACGTAATCAAAAATGAAGGAATGACTTTCTTCATTGGAATCAAGCACGGAAGGATGGTACAGCCGACATGCCTTCTCAACTTGTTTATCTTTTTATGGCATTAGCCAACATTATCATAACTCTAATCCTAATCGAAAATTCTAAAAGACTAATTAGCTTTGCTATAACTGATGTCTGAACAGAGAACAAAACTATGATATGATTAAAATCCTCGAATCTGTTAATAATAATTTCATATTACTGATCTTTTAATTTATTATTCTGAGATGCTACCAATGCGGCTGTTTTTAATACTGTCATGCATTTAGATATATTAGATATGAGGTGATTATATAAAGTTGCTTTACACACTCAACAATCTATTACAGTAATGACTTTTGCGTTATATTTCGTGTTAAAACAGGCTCAATTTTTATTTAAATTCCTTCAGTCGAAAAAGCAAAGAGAAAAATTAAAAAAATATGGTTTATTCCCTAAGTATCTCTCTAGGTGCCAAATAATTCTGTTGATAGAGAAAACTTTACTTTCTTGCAATCAAAGAAAAGGGATTCACTTTTTAAATCAGCAATCATTTTTAACATTTTTCTCTACAGTAAATCCATACACGTGACACACGTTGAACGCTTCTGATGAAAGCTTCTAATTAGGAATGAGAAAAATAGATTTATGGCTCGATAATTCCATCATCCATTTTTCAAACATAACAATAGCCTACTGGATATAAGTGTTGGTTAAATGTATGCAGTTACCTGTTGGTCTTCGAATTAACATCAAAATAGATAGTGGAATAAAAACAAACGTCCTTCAAATAAAAGGTTCAGTTTGAGATAGCTGGAAAATTACGAACGAAAACTGGGGATAAAATGACCAAAACAATGTAAGTATAACAATCAAGATGAGGATACTATTCAGACGAAATCAGTATATGATATACATTATTATAATATTAGTATCATTATAATATATATTATTCATATAAAGGAACGTTCATGTTGCCCATATAACAAGGTTTAACATTAAAGAAAATGTAGACATAGTAGTTCGCTACATTCCTTCTTATGTTTTAAATATATATTTATTGAACTTAAATAATATTTGAATTGGTAAAATCTCTTCCATTCGTGAATTCATCTATAAAATTGGATTCTTAAAGCATATCTACGGATGACTCAATTCAAAACAAAGATTTCTCTGCGTCTACAAGCAAAGTAAAATATGTCTGACTTCCTTATTGATTCTTCACGGTGAAATTTTTAAATGTTTTTGAACGGTGAAAATACAATGACGTGTTTATATAGCACATTTATTTTGAACATTTCATGAGAGACTAGGTTAAAGAAAAGTGATCATTTAAATAGACTTTTTTTATAAAAAAAATCCTAGGTTGTTTGTAATTCTGTGAGATTTTGTTTAAATAATTTAATATTATTTTCAGTTAATGAGCATCGTAAGGAGAATACAGAAACTAAAACATGTGTCAATTTTTAAAATGATAAAAATATTTGAAAATGTTATGATTAAAATAAATCAGTTTTAATAATTATGAAGAAGATTTTTAATCATCATTATTTGTTAATGTTTTATTAGAAACATTATTGCTTTTTACTTTAAAGTTGTTTATAAAATCTTGTTTTTATTACTCGTATGTCATTTTAAATCTACACAAATGATGACAAACATATTTGAAAGGATATGTATAAGTAATGTTTGTCAATTTCTTGGTCAAAGTATTTTTCAGGCTTGCATAATTGTATAGAAACTAATTGTGCGAAATATATTTTCTTTATAAACAGGAAAGCTTATATTCAAACAAAAAATAAAAATAAAAATAAAACGTCTTTCTTCGTCCAGTCGAATTCTTGTCTATACGCATCAATATTTCACTGAAGAATCGACAATTGCGAATGTCAACAACGCTACCATCTTAATGATGAGAACAACACTTATCAGCTTAACATTTACCTTGTTAGTGTCGGCATCATCAGAGGCAATAATGCTATCGACCTCTAAAAGTTCATCTTTAATACCAATCACGTCTGCGTCCATAACCACAAAGCTATTAACCTCTCTGTGGCTTTTTAAAAATATTTCTACGTCTCAAACAAGCATTACAGTGAGTGTCGATCAAAAAGATACTCTTCCTTCATCATTATCATCGCCATCATCAAAAGCAGGGACAGAGCAATTAACGTCAATAACGCCGGCATCAACAACCTTATTATTATTATTGTTGTTGTTGTTATCAACTCACAATTGTGTCATCATCTCAATCGTGTCTGTCCAACTCGAAACTTCCCTCATTATTCTCGCCACCACTCCTTGCAATCCAGTCTACGTCGTCGCCGCTATTTTTATCACTTAATATTTTTCATTTATGGACCCTTGTTCGGCTCCCTTGGCAGCATATGGTTGGATGGATTCATTTGGACATAAAAGGAGATCTATAATGGCGAGGAATATGTGTGCCTGGCGCGTGGAGTAAAAACATGGCGAGGAATTAATGGATGGGAGATGATAGAAAGAGGGGGGCCGTGAAACAGATATACGCATAATGATGAAGAAAAAAAGAGAGGGAAGTAGTAAATAATGGAGAATGAAAAAGACAAAATAAAAAAGGAAAGAAAAAAGATGATGGAAAAAAGAAAAGATTTCCATATAAGAGAGAGAGAGAGAGAGAGAGAGAGAGAGAGAGAGAAGAAGAAATAAAGAGAAAGAGAAAGAGAGAGAGAGAGATTTTGCATGGGTTTACGACTGAAAAAACAATAACAAATAAATATGGAAACAGCAGAGGAAAATACACAGAAGCTGTGAACTGAAAGAATAAAAATAAATTCTGATGAGAGAAAAAAAGGAACAAAGAACAAAGAGAAATAGAGAGAAATAGAGAGAGATAGAGAGAGATTTATGGGTCGGGGAGTGATTGATCATGTGAAATAGAATAAAGTGGATAGAAAAAAAAGTAGAGAGAGATGCAAGAAAAAAGAAAGCAACTTCTAAGGTTGAATAAGCAACTTTCTTGTTGAAACTGAAAGCCGTTTCTTAGAAATCAAAACCCAAACAAATTGCTGCCGACATACTGTGACATTTCACTCCATTTCAACGGCTTTGCATACAAAAACAACCAATAAAACAAAATTTTTGTTGATATTTTATTCGAATTTAGTCATTAAAAGAAGTTGAGAATACTTATGTCCCCAGTCCGTTGACATCACTTTAAATAATATGAAATCCTTCGAAGAGAAAATAAATGAAACAGCAATGATTAAAAAAAAAAACAACAAAAAAACAAATTCTGATAAGATCAATGCGGCTTTCATCTCTCATGGGTGGGAAGATAGGAAAATAGGAATGTTCATTTACCCAATCGTTCTACTTTTTGCTGCCTACAAATCATTGCATTCGACTTCATATTGTGTCGAGAATAATATTAAAAAAAAAAAAAAAAATTAGGTACCCCAGTAACAACAACAATATTTATATCTTTTCCCTATTATAATAAAAAGTGTCTAAGTTTCATACAAAGACACAGTTTTCTATTCTAAAAAACAAAATATATTTCAAATTTCAAACTTGCCTACTACTTATTGTTTTTATTTCTCAGTGGGTAATTTTAATATTTAAATAGGAATATGTTTATCTTCAGGTTTTTAAAGAGGAAGAATTTCATAATCATCATCATCATCATCATCAAGCTTTTTAATCATGTATTTAAAGAGGAAGATGTTCATCATCATCAAGTATTTAAAGAGAAAGATTTCATCATCATCATCATCAAGCATTTAAAGAGGAAGATGTTCATCATCATCATCATCATCATCAAGTATTTAAAGAGAATGATGTTTATTACAACGTAAGATCCAAAGTTCAATCTTTTATTTCTTGTACAAACTTGATAAAATTTCACAGCCTTTAATAAACTAAGATAGATTATATTAGGGTAAAAATTATACTATTTTTTGTGATTTTATGTCATTACTTGGTGATCTCTACAGATTAAGGAACTTTCAATATTGGAGAGTTTATGAACCAAAATTTCGAGAAAAAAAATCGGCAGCTTAGGTTAATATTAATGAAAAGCAGTTTAAACCAATTTTTAAAACCTTTTTTTTTCATTTTTTAAGGATCACAGATAAAATTTAGCCTACGTTTATGGCAGTGACACTGAATTGGGGTCCATAGAATTTTTTTTAATTTTGGGTTCGCACTAGAAAATAGTAATTTGGGGCACCAAGATAGTATATCAATAGTGAATGAAAACATTTTGCTTTAGACATATTTATTGCAATAAATAACAAGGTTTCTCTCTCTTGTGCTTCACGTAGTTCAACTTAGTAGTTATAATTTAGTGAACATTTACGGTCAAACTTAATCTAATTTCTTTTGGAATTTGTCTTTTAAATGAATATACTCTGAGAGATAATGAAGATATTTTATTGGCGTATGTTCGATTTCTGGATATTAATTTAGTCAGAGAGGAAATCCTTTTTAAAACAGACACAAAGGTGAAACAATTTTCAAGGAAGTTTTTAATTATTTCAAGAAAAATCATTTTCCATTCAAAAATATAATGATTGACAGTTACGAAGTTTTATTGCACATTTAAAGCGTGCTGTACCTGAAGTATATTGAATACAATGTGATATTACACCGGCGGCAACACTTAGTTGCAAAACAAATGAACGTCGGCGTGATGCCGCCTTATTATTGTAATAAAAGCGTTTAACCATATTAAATTCTTTACGAAAACTTATCTTTCAGGAATTCTGTAATCCAAATGGAGACGATTTTGACGCCTTGTAATTCATACAGAGATGAGATTGTTATCAAAAGGTAATTGTTTACGTCTTTTTGTTGCAAGATAAGATTCTGTTGTCTCATTTGTGGCTAACAATCATCTTGGAGAACAAAACATTGCAGGTAAATGTGATATATTTTAATTATCAGATATATTTTATAAAATTAATTTACTTAAGCAGCTACAAACTGATTTCTTATTTTATTATTATTTTTTAATATATCACCCCTAATATAAGGATTAGCCATTTAGCACGCAAGGATTGGAAAGCCAGAGCAGATAAAATGATAGAGGAGAGGATGGGAGAAGGATTGGATAGATCAAGGCAACTGGAGATGTCGATTGACATTACATTTGAATAGTTGGAGATTAAAAACTATCTTTTTTATTTAATTATAAAAAAAATGGGATTTTTTAAACATCGATCGTCTATAGGGGTCTAACAGAGTAAAATAGAAATCAAAGGAGTTGAGAACCCCCAGGTTTCGGGCAATAATAATAATAATAATAATAATAATAATGTTTTACATGGACTTGAGATAATTCTTCTTGTCAGTAATTAAATTGTTTATAGGTTTTTATGCAATAGCCGAAGTTTCTCTAAAAGCATTTTACAAAATCGCACTCACAAATCCATCTACAGGGTTTTTTAACACCCACACAAATAAAAGCAGAAACACATAGAAAAAAAGTTTTTCTAATAATAATCTATATTGATAGAAAAATGCAAAAGCAAGCGGACACACAAGTTACGTAGATATTCATTCATACACAATAATTTGTATAATCATAAAGTTTATATGGAAAAACATTTCTACATTATTAATTCCTATTCACTTGCCTGCAGGTGGGGGAGGCGTATTCCTAATAAGTATTTTATCGTAGGATTAATGATAATGCCTACTGTCTTGCTAAGTCATTTGTTTGTTTTTTTTTGTTTTTTTTGCTGTTCGGTTCATGAAATTGAAGTGTCAACCTAAGGACTGGCAAACAAAAATGAAAAACTAAAAACAAATCCCAACCCAGGAGATGATCACTCCAAACTTAGCGTGAACAATAAAAGCACAAATTATATGAAGAGAAAAGTCCCTCTTGAGAGAGAGAGAGAGAGGGATAGAGAGAGAGAGACAGATAGATAGAGAGAGAGATATATATATAGAGAGAGGCAGGACATAATGCTTGACTAGCACTTGAAGATTTTGCACAAACAAAAAAAGAATACATCTGATGACTAAGTAGTCTTCATCCCAAATTGTTACTCTCCTCGGAAAGACAATATTTTCAAAGCAGAAATGAATAGGAAGATAATTTCTAAACAGTTGATCTGGTAACAGTTGAAAATAGTATTTACTTAAACTATAGAATTTCTATTCAAGACAAAGTACAGTTCATAGTTCTTCTAAAAAAACGATATGACCCCAATGATTTGCAATTACAAACATTTGCCGTTTGGTGGTTTTTTGATCACAACATTCCAAAGGACGAGATGTTTACTATGTAAATCAAAAAAAAAAAAAAAAAAAAAACCCACTAGATACAAAACAATACAGTAAAGTCTTCTTTAAGTACCGGGTGTCATTCACTATAATTATTGTCAATGAAGGTAAACTGAATGGCTTCTTCTATGTGCTGTGTCCCTTCAGGACGTGGGCGATCATGGCTATTCACAACTTCCTATCTTTTGTAGGTCTTTTTGCAATCACTCCAAGTCCTGTCCTGACAATCATTTAGTCAAGTTCGTTAGGTAGGTTATTCGTTGCTTTACTCTGTCCTTTTTATCCTCCATATACTCTGTGAGTATCGAATTCCCTAAACCCTCTTTCCTCGTTATGTTGTCTAGAAATTTACTTGTCTCTCTCCGATTTTAAGTATTTAAGTGTATTTTTTTGTTCCCGTTTTTTTTTTAAATCGTCCTTTCTCTCATGAAAAAGATTAAAACTTTAACTTGAAAGTTAAAAATATGTGATTTTTTGTTGGATAGTCGACGATTAAACCATCTCTCTAACTCCAATGTGAAGCAGAATGCTAGTAACCTTGTAGGATAAAAAATAAGACTAATCAAAGAATAGAAGAACTTCATTCAACGATCAGCTAACGAGGTGTGGCTCAATAAAATCACTGTGGAGAAGGCAATGCGAAACTACTTTTCTGTTAATCCCAAAATTGTTCATGGCTATCAACGACTAGAATAGTGTTCACAATTAAGTAAAAGAATCTTAATCTCTTCAAATCAACGACATATCCTCTTTATTCCCATCATCTTCATTTCCCACCATCTCCACGTTCGTACATACCACACCTCGTGCATCATAACAACTTTAACAGTAACCTTCTGTATTAAATGCCTCTCGAGCCTTATATTAAACTCTTTCAAAATGGAGTATACATGTAAATTCACTCATGGTGACAATTGTTTATAGCAAGTAACTAACCGAAATATGTAAAAAAAAATGTTATATCATGTTAAATCTTACTTATTATAAAACGCAGATTGTGTGTGTGTGTGTGTTTGTGTGTGTGTCTGTAACGTTTATATATAGGATCGAATTTCCTACATTTTTTAGCCGATTTCAACAAAACTTCACAGGACTACATAAAATTACCTTGTGGTGGTTCTAACGGCGCCGAAAATGGGAAAAAATACAGTTGTTTTTTAATAAAATCAATTTGAAAACACGATTAAGACACATCGTGAGAATGAAAGGGGACAACTCACCCACGAAAATGTAAACAAAAGAGCATAGCATGATGAAAAAAAAAGCCGAACTTGACGAAAACAAAATTTTATCGTCTAATGTTCATATTATTATTAAAGAGGAAAGATCAAAGTATTTTGGGGTATTTTTTTACATTTTTTAATCGTTCCTAGCACGTCTGAAATTTTCGTTAAAAATATTGTTTTTAAAAAAAAAAAAAAAAAGGACAGATAATCAATCATTTTCAATCATTTTTTTCGATTTGATAAAAAAGATTAAAATCTTACTTTGATATTCTTTAAAAATCAATTATCATTTTTTCAAAACTGATTTTAATAAAAACAGAAATTATACTGTTTATTTAAAATATTTTGAACCAAGCTTAACTTAGCTTCTGCGCCGAAAAAATGTAATTTGAAAATAAAACAAAGCAGGTCATAACCTTTCGCGTCGCTTGACGATTGACGAAAGGCACATTCATGACGTTTAGATAACTTACGGAGGATAATTTTTCTACGGATGGAAGGAAGTGAAATTATTTAAGTGAACAAATTATTTACCTTGTTACTTTTAAGGAAAACTTTCAGCGCTCTAATTTTTAATTTTTTTTTTTTTTTTTTTTTTTTTTGTACTTAGCTTTCATTTTTTACGTTTACGATGCTTTATGAAAAAATATAAAGAAATTAAAAAAATAAGACTGTTAATAGTGAGATTAAATTTCATAAGAAAAAGGTATCTAATTAATTTAGGTACCTTTCTTATGAAATTTTATCAGAAGTGTACATAAAATACTATAATTTTATGTACATTTATTACATTTTACTGTGTTATTTGTATTTCCATTCATTTTATTATTAATTTTGATATTTCATTTATGGAAAAATGTCATAACTGAGATTAATATAAAAATAAGATCATATAAATTAAAGTTTAGCAGTAGTTAAATTTCATAAGATGATACTGTTACTTGTAGGTACCCTTCTCAGTTGAAATTGAAAACTCAAATTAACTTCTCCATACGTGTTTCGCAAAAAAGTAAAGGGCTTAACAGCGGAGAACAATGCTGAACTCAAATAATGCAACTAAATTGTATTCTGGTTGGTCTTCCGTACTTGATAATTACTGTCCGACTATAAACACAAAAATTACATTTCTTAATTACCATGGCTAATCTGATTGGTCCAAATTATACAATTTTCAAAGCGCTAGACAATGACAATCTCACACGGACATTTTGAAAGGTTGATGTTGCTTTTAACTAATGTTAAAATATTTTTAAAAAATTCAATTTAAAAATTTTTTAAAAATCTTTTTAAAATTAAAGAAATAAGAAATAATTGTATTAAAAATTCAATTTTCATTGAAAAAAATTTTTGCTTTCAGAAAATATTGTCCATATTCATAAAAAACAAATTAAAACAAATAAAAGCATTTGAAACTAAATAATATATTTGTTTTATTGAGTTTTGTATGTTACAATTCACAGCTGATTTTCAGGTACGTTGGCCAAAAAAAAAAAAAAAAAAAAAAAAAAAAACATGATTTGCATTCTTCAAAGCCTTGTGCTTTTAACTATTGTAATCACTAAAACCGATGGTCTGGAATTTCTAGAGTTTTTCATAAAATTAGTTATGGGGGTGTTAATAAATATAAAAAAAATATTTCTGCCATGACTTTAATAAAAAAAGAAACATATTTATAATAATTTCGATCATCTGTGAATAGTTTCTGAAAGTTTCATTAAAATCTGACAATTATTTTTATTTTTGCAAGATTATCCAAATTAATGTGTGTAAATACAAAAAAACGCGCTAAAAATTATCAATGTTATTTACTACCCCTTGTTGCGACAAAGAGAAACAAGGTTTTTTAAATCAAAATTTAGAATATTCTAAAAAGATGGAAAAATTTAAAAAAAAATAATTAAAAAAAATTTAGTCTATCCTCTTCATAAAAAAAATAAGCATTTTGACGATAAAATTTTGTTTTCATAAACTTTGGCGTCTTTTTTCATCAGACTATGCTCTTTTTTTAGCGATTCCGTGGAGTGACTTAGGTTAAAAACCCAGGTTGTGGTTTTGTGTGTGTGTGTGTGTGTGTTCCTTTATATATGGGATCGGATTTTCTTACTTAATTTTTCAGCCGATAAAACAAACATCCAATTTTTTTTTTTCAGGTAGTATTTCTTATTGTGTTTGCACTTTTTTTTTTTTATTTACATTCAGAATGCTTTAAAAATTCCATTTACAAGACAATTGTTTATAATAAAATGATTAATTTTATTCGATAGACTCATAACGATTGAAAACAATGTTTTTTGAATTTGGGTTTGACCAATTCGTAAAAAAAAAAAAAAAAAAATAAATTAAGACATGCGTGTCCGTCAACCTTAAACAATAATCTTTAATCAATTTTATTTTCAGATTTAAATGATGGTCGAAAAATTAGATTCATATCTTTAAGATTTACATAATTCACAACGCTATAGGTTACTTTTTTACAATTCCTTAAGTTAAAGTTTGCCTAATGATTTTTTAAGGCATTATTCTTCATGAAATTAAGTCAATATTTAAATTTGAATTTTAAAAATTAAAACCTAAAAAAAAAAATATTAAAAAAAAACAGTCCTTTCGAAAATAAACGTTGATAATGAAAATAAATAAAGAACAATGAAAACTTGCGAAAATTAATAAACCAAAATAAATTTAATGGATGACATGATTAGAAAAAACATTGGAAAATAACTGATTTTCAGAATGGGAATTAATGACAAAATATATTAAGCAATTAAATAAAAAAATAAATAAATGAAAAAAAAAATAAAAAATATAAAAAAATGGTTAAATTCGCAGTGACACTTTACAGTTTAAAACAATTAACGAATCAAACCGAATTCCAAAATGGAATTTTTTTTTTTGATCATATATGTGAAATTTTTATTGTCGCCTAATTTTTCACCATAAATTTTACATTCAAAATCCTGTCAAAATTAATTTGGAAGACAATTATTTATAATAAAATGACGAATACCAATGTTTTATACTGATCAATATTCGACGATTACTTTTTTTTTTTTTTTGAATTTTGTTGTTAAAAACAGAGTTAAAAAAAAAAAACTGAATTAAGTATTGTTCATGCAGTGTTATATAACCTGTAAACAAAAAGTTTTTTACAACGAACATTTTTTTCCCATTTGTTATGATGATATCTTGAAAATATCTGTTTTTACATTCCAAGGCAACGTAAAGAATTTCGATAATAACCTGAATTTATGAAGATTGTAAAATTTACAAAATGGGAAATTATCAAAATCATATTAAAAAATATCATTGAAAATTCGTAAACTTAAAGAATTAGATTATATACATATTATACAAAATCTGCTTTTTATAAAAATCTTTAATAAATCTAAAACGAATAAAAAATAGTCAGATAAATATATATATAAAAAATATAAAAATGTTTTTTTAAAAAGCTAAAAGAAGCAAATGAA